CCTTTGCCGCCTGGGCCCCCGCCTGGGCCCACTCGGGGCAGCACCTCCGAGGAGGCCGAGGCCGAGGCCCTCCTCGCCCAAGGGGGGCAGACCGCCCCTTGAGAGCCGGCGGCCGCGCCGGGGAGCAGCACCCACCCGCGCTGCCGCACGCGAGCTCCGACCGCCGCCGCGGGCCGAGTCAGCAGCGGCCCGGGCCACCTGCGCGCTTACTCAGAATCCCTTCTTGATCGTCCCCCGGGTCCGGTTTCTTGAGGCGCCCTCTTTGTAACGGGGGGGGGGGCCGGTTCAGCAGGGCGCTCTCTTTGATTTGGAGCTTGGGGGTCCGGTTTCTTGAGGCGCCCCGTCGAAGAGGTGGGTCCAGAATATCAGGTCGCATTTGGAGGGGGGTCCGGTTTTTTTGGGGGGGTCGATGAAGAAGAGATTTGGAGTATCAGACTGGCTGCGACACCTGGGGCAGCGCCACCGGCTGAGCCAGCGGCGGCCTCGGTGCCCGCCATATCTGTTCTGTCGGCCACTCTGGCGAATGACTCGCCGGCCTCAGCGACATCCACGGGATCCCGCACTGCCGGCTAAGCCGGCAATGGGCCTCCCACGACCTGCGCATGCACGCACAACGCCACAAGCAGTTGCGGCAGCCTGCTCATCATGTCTAGCTGTCCTCTTGCCCCACTGCTCGGCATTATCGCCAAAGGTCCCCTCGGCCCAGTAGAACTGACAACCGATTTCTGCAATGCATGAGCGCATGGTAGTTGCGAGGGCGCGTGCGTGGGACCTATGGTTCAACCCCAAAAACTTTGATGTACGCCTCGACAACGTCAGAACTTCCCACCGCCACTCTCACCTCCGCATCAAGCGCGTAGGTGTTGATTCTTCGCTGTTTAGGGCAGTGTGCAAGTCCGCTCGTCCACGTCCCCATCGGGGAAAAAACGCAGCGGCCCTCTGTAATCGATTTTGCAATACGCTCACAAACGGTTCCCGAAGGCCCTTTAGAACGGTAGCTCAAAGGGCAACTTGGGAAAGTTCCAAAGGTGATCAACGCAGTTCTTGAAAAAAACTGTGATGGCTCGCGGCTCTCATTGCAACGATCGGCTTCCCACGCATAATCCATCATGTGCTGAGGCGCCGCGCTCTTCGCGTGAGCCTCGAAGGTTACGACGAATGGTGGCAGGGTGGGGTTGTGTGCCAAGTCGCGTGCGGGGTTATCGCAGCGAGGTCGAATTGAAGCGCGACCTCTTCTTTACTGATTTCGGGGCGCGGAGCAAAGATGACCAGCGCAGGCGGCTTAGCCGTCTGCGGGGCATTCCTGCGACTCCACGCGGGGGGTCTACCAAATCCCATATCCTGCTGAAGGTTCCCACGGCGGGAGACCGACTTCGCAGATCGATAAGGCCCTTCGTGGAAAGTTCCTATGGCCACAACCAGACAACCCGCTTGCGCCGCCGATTGCGCGATCTCGGGGCCCTGCTGCTCGGCTATGACCTAAGGACCGCCGGTTGAACCGGCGGCCTCACGGGCAAGCCGAGCCACCGAAGGGATAGCATCCCCCTCGCTCAGCATAGTTTTCTCCCACAGATTCCACCCCTTCCTGGGCGTAGTGAGTTCGTCCTTGACACCCGCCCAGTCGACGATCGCCAACGGGGGGGAAAGCCATAGGCATGAAGAACCGATCGATCAACTTCCACAAAGCGTGCCGCAAAGTGGACGCAGGGGCGTTGTCCTTCTTGGAGTTGACGTATGCAATGAACTTTTTCTTGAGCGGCTCCGGAAGCACTGTTCATTCCTAATTGGGGGGTGGTCTTACGGACTCAGGGCGTCCCACGAGGTAACAGACCCCCGTTTATTATTGTGAGTAGCGTCTGTCCACCACGGGGCATCCTCAACCGCCTGTGTAGATCATAAAGCCACCGCCGAGTCCTCCCATCATGGATATGAAGGTGATCACCGATGGTGGCCGAGAAAACCCTGCCTTTTCCGCCTGTCCCTCACGGACAGGTCCAAGCTCTCCGCCTCCACAATCCACTGCAAGCCTGGTCCCTTCAGCTCTCCCGGATCGCCCTCATTGGGAACCCTGCAAAGAAATTCCGCCGAACGGGAAGCCGAGGGACGGTCGTAAAACAGAAAGGGCAGGCCCCAAACCCCGAACGCAACTCATTGAGCCGCACGCACAGGTACCGGCCATCATCTTTCCAGGGCGGGGCTGCACGCCGATCTGCATGTTCTTTCGAGATCTCGGGTACTTCAGGCGGTTTAGCCGCCTGAATCACTGCCTCGGCGGTCGGAGAAACGGATTCATCCAGGTGAAAGTACCCCAGAATTTGGTCGGGTGGAAATGTGATGTCCTTGCTTGCCCACGACTGGCACATGAGGCTTCACATGATCCGAAAGCCCCTGCCTTGTGACTTCTTGATGTGGGACAGCGTGGTGATATTCGAAATGTCGACCCATCGGGGACGCTGGTTTGAAACCAGCGCCCGTCCAGGAAGACTCGACTCGAAACCGGCACCTGAGCGACACTTTGGGGCTGCATTTCGCCACGCGTCCCCACTTGGTATGATGGTCATCATGCGCATGCCACAAAAAAATCGAACAACGCCGGGGTCAACTCCCCCCTCGGCGGTGGCGCATTAGAACCCTCCTGACCAATTGAACCGGCCGGGGGATCGGGCTGCGACGGAGGCGGGGGGCCACCCGTGACGGAGATCCCACGCGAGCTGAGCCAGGGATTCCCTTGGCCACAGGGAGAAGTCTCATGGCGTCGTAATCTGGGGCGGTGAAGAGACCAATTGCGCCGCTGGATACTGGACCTCTCCCCGCATCGACTCCTTAATCGCTCTCAGCGAAATGACGTGCAGCAACGGTACATGACGCTCGGACAGTCCACATGAGCTCAAAATTGGCGACAAATACCGACGGCGGCGGCAGCGAGAGACGGCGAGGATGGAGCCGTGTAAACTGGAAGGCCTCCGGCCTTCTGAAAGTTTTCGGCGCCTTCTCCGAGGACGCAAAGAGCTTCTCAGAAGGCTGGAGGGCTGATATGAACGGGGGGCGCGCAAACATGGATCGAGGGAGGTGCCCTCCCCAAAATGCGGCCAATGCCGCCTGAATGCCGCCTCGCCCGACGGCGGAAAGCCGTGATTCCCCATGGAAACGGGACCTGTCGCTAATCCACGCCCCCTTGATCCATGTTTGCGATCGCCTGAGTGAAGGCCCGCAGCCTTCTGAGAAGACCTGCCCCCCTCCTCCCCCTCCTCCTCCTCCTCCTCCTCCTCCTCCTCCTCCTCTTCCTACCTCCCCCCCTCCTCTTCCTCCTCCTCCTCCTCCTCCTCCTCCTCCTCCTCCTCCTCCTCCTCCTCCTCCTCCCCCTCCTCACTTCCTCCCCGGGCCCGCCGCCGACCCGCGGGCAGGCCTGGGGGGGCGGGACCTGACGACGGGGGGGGAGGGCCGGGCAGGGCACGAGCGCGGGCGGGCAGGCCTGCGAGCAGGCGGGCGAGCGGACCCTCTCGGGCGGGTCTGGCGGGCAGACCGACGACGACGACGACGACGACGACGACGACGACGACGACGGCGACGACGACGACGACGACGACGACGACGACGACAGCGACGGCTACGGCGACGGCGACGACGAAGCTGGAGCGGAGGGCGCTGAACCCGCGCAGCTGGAGCGGGGCGGGACCGACAACGTGTGATAAAAACACACATGTGAGAATCACCTTGTTTAGATCATACTGTATCACACTTGTGTTTCTTATCACACTTGCTTTTTTATCACAGTTGTGCTTCACACTTGTTCTAGGGGCGGGCCTGCAAGTAGACCGGGGAACGGACCCTGACGGGCGGATCGGTTCGAAGCGGGCCCTGCCCTGCATCTGGGAACTCCCAGGTTGACGACAAGGGGTGGCGGCGGAGCGTTGGCAGGGAGGGCAGCGGAGGGCCTGCACCGAGAGGCTCGGGAGGTGGACCGCAATCGGAGGGCGGAACTTCGCGGTACACGTTGGCGGTAGTTACACTGTGGACGTGATATCGTCTGCTTCTGCGGGCTTCCGCTGGCCTCCCGCCAACTTCCGCCGAAGAAAGAATGTCATGTTCGCGATCCCATGCAGGAGAGGCCCTTTCTGGAGGGTCCCCCCAGACTCGAGTGGTCTTGGAAGGATCCTGGCTGAATCATGTTCGTGATCCCACACGTAGCCTGCGTGGGCGTGTGCGGCGCCATCTCATCCCCCACCACATACTACTCCTAGAGGAAGAACATCGACGCAACGATTGCGCCCTGTCTGCACCAAAGTTTACAAACCTTGGGCAAAGAAACGACGTCCCCCCTCCATCACCACGAACGGCTGCAGGGTCACCGCTAATCTGTTCCAGCCGGAGCCATGTCGCAGTTCCAGGCCCGCCGCGAAGAAACTTCCGAATGCGGGTCAACGAGGGGCGAGGAAGGGGGATCGGCTCCACATGGCTTCCAAACCCGGGTCAGCCAGATGGGGTCATCGGAAGGTGGCTCACCCCGCCAGTGCGGACCCCCGCTGCGTATGCCCCGAAGACTGCGCCTGGAATGGGCCCACGGAGCAGAAAAGAATGGGCCAACGGAGCAGAACAGGACACCACGACATCAACACAAACCGACGCGGAGCACCGGGCGGAGTCCTTGGACTGGCGCTGGACCCCCCTCCTCTCGACAAGGGCACCGCTGGAGACGCCGCCAGGGGGGCAGCGCCGAGCCAAGAAAGTCGCGCGGTCATCCGGCTGCCTCTGCTCACGCTCGAGTCGTGCGTGGGCTGGGAGTCCAGCGCTGGCTCCCAGGCAACGGGGCCGCGAGAGGCGACGAGGGGGCCGACGAGGGCCCGACAGGCAAGGCGAGGCGAGGGCAACAGACAGACAAAGACCAGGAGGACTGCTTCTGTTTGTGACGCCCTCGGCGCCGCCGCCGCCGCAACCGCCGCCGCCGCTGCAGCCGTTGTCGTCGTCGTCGTTGTCAGCGTCGTCTTCGCCGCCGTCGTCGTCTTCGACGCAAAGCCCAGGCCGCTTTCCAATGTGGCGGACGCCAGCCTGTGCTTCTACCCCGGCCGCGCGGACGCCGCCCTCGGACCTGCGTCGTCCGTCCTCGGCGTCCTCCCCGATTGGGATGCTCGAGGACCCCCACACAAGGCCAGCTGGAGATCCGCCACCGCGCTGGCGGCGGCTTGTGAGCGTCGGGCCCTTGCGCCTTGTGCGAAACCATGTTACGTGCTCCCCCCCTGACGCATGGAGTCCAAGATGCCTTCGTTTGCGTGGCCAAGTCCCTGCGATGCTGGCCTTCCAGGCAGATGGGCCCTCTCCCCTACCCCCCCTCACCTCAAGGCGCCCCCGCCCCTCCCCCGCTCCTGCCCGAGCGCGGTGGCGGGGTCGCGCGGCAGCGCGACTGGATAGGTCGCGACATCTAACACCCCCCTCACTGGTTGAAGAGGAACTTGATGTCTTCCGACGTGAGTCTCTGCAGGGCCGTGTTGCTTCCCCCAACGGTGCAGTCAAAGACAGACTGCTTCTTGTTCTGCAGCTCGATGATCTTTTCCTCGATGGTGTCGGTCATCACGAAGCGCACAGCCTTCACGGGCCTCGTCTGCCCGATGCGGTGCGCCCTCTGGATAGCCTGGAGCTCGGAAGCCGGATTCCACCAGGGGTCCATCAAGAAGATGTGGTCCGCGGCCTGCAGGTTAAGCCCCTCGCCGCCGGCCTTCAGAGATATCAGCAGCACCTTCAAGTGAGGATCGGACATGAAGGACAAAATGATGTTGTTGCGGTTGGTAATCGGCATGCTGCCCAAGAGCTTCGCGCATTGGATGCCCTCGCGCTTCAGCCTCCACTCGATGAGCTCCAGGAAATTTACGAATTGTGAAAACACGAGGGCCTTGCTGGAGCCATTGTTCTGCATCATCTGCTGCACCTCCTGCGCGGGCCCAGAGACATGCGCCTACCCCTGCTAAAACCCCGAGGAGGTGGCCTACTCTCGTTGTCCTTGAAAGAAGAAGAAGAAGAAGAAGAAGAAGAAGAAGAAGAAGAAGAAGAAGAAGAAGAAGAGTCAAGCGCTCTTGGAAGTCCCACTGATCTTGTCGCATCGGCGCTGGACCCCCCCCCAGTGGCGCGCGAAGCGTGCCGTGGGCGCCGCCGCAGGCGCTGCTAGAGGGTCCAGCGCGGATCCAAGAAAGCCGCGCGGCCCTCCGAAAGCTTATGCTCGCGATGATTTCTTTCCTTCGGTCTTGTCCTCTCTTGCCTCGAGAGTACAAGTGGAGGGGGAGAGGGAGACGGTGAGGGGGCGGGCATAACAGGGCACATTCTGGTTGATTTCTGCGGATATCCTGCAGCAGCGCCTCGATCTTGGTGGAGGTCTTGAACTCCGCCGTCTTGATGCGCTGCAGAATGGAGCGGGACGGTGGCTTCTTAGCGAGAGTAGCCTCGTCGGGGGGTAGCTGCGAAAGAGATTTATCCATACCCACGGCCTGGGAACGACGTCCTGGGGGCCCAGCGGTCGGTGGATGTGGATGCAGTTTGGCCCCCTAGGGGCCAACATGTACCCACATCCACTGCCTGTGGAGGTCCGCGAAAATAGACCCTCCAAGCGGTGGTGACGTGGCCGATTCCGGAAGCCCTGAGCCCAAACATGTTGTCTTCTCTTGGAGGGGTGCACATCTCTTACTTCCACCGCCTTCCGCCAACCTTCCGCCAGCCTTCCGCCAGCCTTCCGCCCGCTTCCGCCGGCAGAGGCGGCCTTCTTTTACTTCCGCCGACCTTCCGCTACCCTTCCGCCGAGGAAGGGATGGCAAATCCGTCGACCCTCGAACGCAAAGCCCCTTTTGAAGCGCCCCATGAATAAATCCCCGCCTCGAAGGAGCCAGGGCCACATTTCGCAGAACGCCCCCTGGAGTACAAAACGCCCCCTGGGCGCAGGCCGCGGCAGAGATAGCGGCTGCAACGCCCTCTCGAGAAAATACAAAAATGACCAACTGGGCGGATTCGCCAACGGGCTTGTTGGCGGCGCGCACAATAGGTACAATCGGGCGTGGGCCAGAAGAACATCCCTCAAGAAAAGTACCCCAGTGCGACCCTACCTAGAAGTTGGAGCCCCTAGGAAAGCAGCATTAGTTGCTATGCTATGCTATGCTATGTTATGCCATGGTATGCTGCGCTATGCTATGCTATGCTATGCTATGCTATGCTGAGCTATGCGATGCTATACTATGCTATGATATGCTAAGCTATGCCATGCCATGCTGCGCTGTGCTATGCTAAGCTATGCTATGCTAAGCTGGGCTATGCTAGGCTCTGCTATGCTATGCTCTGCTCTGCTCTGCTATGCTATGCTATGCTATGCTGCGCGGTGCTATGCTGTGCTGTGATGTGCTGCGCTATGCTATGCTGTGCTATGCTATGCTATGCTATGCTATGCTATGCTGCGCTAAGCTCTGCTATGCGGGGCTTTGCTACGATATGCTGTGCTACGCTGTGCTGTGCTACGCTCTGCTATGCTATGCTGTGCTATGTTATGCTAAAGCTCGGAGAAGCTAAGACGACGGTAAGCTAAGATAGACCTGAGCTAAGATGCAGCTAAGCTAAGCTAAGATGAAGTAAGCTAAGCTAAGATGAGATAAGCAACGCTACGTTAAGGGAACGTCACTGGGGGAACCGCGGGGCGGATGCCGGGGGAACCGCCCGGGGCGAGGAACACTGCCTGGCCCCTTTAAGCTAATAAAATAAGAACCCTTCTAGGCAGAGCCTAGGTAGGGAATGAGACCCTCCGCCGGCCAAAACTGAAGAACAGTCGAGGGTGCCTTCCCGCAGGACGCACAAGAACATCCCACAAAACCGAAGAACACTGGGCAACCTCCCCGAACCGACCTCAACCTTATACCTCGGTCCGACTATAGGGGGAGATTGGAAGGCTTCTTAGAAGGAGGCTGCTTCTTGGACGGCGTCGGCCCTACATCTATGGACGAGGCCCGCGCCTTCTACGAAGCACGGGTGCTTCTAAGAAGCCTTCCCCCTACCCCACACCCCCCTCTGCGCATGGCCGAGATTGGCAGGGTGGGGGTTTCTGTCAACACCCGACCTCGGGAGGCTCGTGCATCTCGGCACCTGCACGAGAATGCGCGTACGAATGCAGTGGAGGCCAGTCCACAAGAAACCCTCCACAAGAAGCCCAACCCGGAGACCCCAGGACGTCCAGCTTTTGGTGGGAACGTCACGCTTTTCATCGCAGAACTATCGAAACCCAAGAAACCCAGGGCACCCTGGAGGCAAGCAGGGTGTTTCTTGGCATGGGCCTCCACCATATGCACACACGTTCGCTTTCGGAGGGCTGCGCGGATTTCTTGAGCCCCCCCCCCCTCCCGGTCGCGCCGAGAGCGCACCGCCCGGGGGGGTCCGGCACCGCGCCAAGACATCCGCGCGGACCTCCGAGCTCTCATGCTTGCGCACCGTCTTCTTCGAACCCGAGATGGCGCCATCGGAACCCGACCCCACAGAGCATCGACTCTCCCGAATCGATGGGGGGCGGGGGCAGGGTCAAACCTTCGCCACGCGTTCGACGAATTCCGAACCATGACCCCCGACGCCCGTCGAGTTGTCCAGATCGATGCTCGGAGAGGGCAGGGCTCCCATCTCGCCGCCGAGGCCTGCCGCATCGTCGTCGTCGGCCTCCTCCAGGCTGAGCGTCAGGGGAGCGAAGCAGGTCGGGCAGCCGATGCCCCCCGTGGGCAGCGTCGGCGCCTGAAGGAAAAAGAACAACCGGCACCACCACCACCAGTTGGAGGCCTAGAAATGGGCACCAACACCAACACAGGGGGTTGCCTCCACATGGTGAGGATGATCCTAGATTTCGGTGTTGGTGGCAATATTTTGGTCACCTCGGAAGCCAGAATATTACCACCATCACCGAGGTCGGGATCGTCTTCCCTTGGTGGAGGCACACCGCCGATCTTGGTGTTGGTGTCAACCTCTAGGCCTGCGAACCAGGGACCACCGGCCAGAGGATCCAGGGGGGGTCCCCCTGGCGGAGGGGCCCCCTCTCGCGCTCGAGACGTCCTCTGTCCCCAGCTCGGGGAGGCATCGTGTTGCGAATGCCATGACAATGGACACTCTAACCGTTCCATCATTGAATAAAGCATGTCTTTGAACTGTCTTCTGCGTGTTTAAAACATGTTCGAGACATGTTTTGGAACTTTAGAAACATATTCCAAACCTGCTGTAGGCATCTGGAAACTATTTGGCAATACGCCTCCTCTCCATTGATCATCTTTCACAACTCCATCCCCAGCTCGGGGGGGCATCGTGGACCTCCTCGCTGGAGGTGGCCCCCCTCTGGTGGTGGTGGCGTCGTTCCTCCTCCCCCGGGGCCTGCTCCAGGTATTCGCTCACGCACTCGCGGTGGAAGGCATGGCCGCAGCTGGCCACCACCAGCTCGGAGCGCTCGGACACGTCCTCCTGGCACAGCGCGCACACGTGCGCGTCTCCCCGGCTCTTCGAGGGGATCAGGCCGTTCTCCTCGCACGCGGCGCACGCAGCCGTGTGCGCGCCTTCGCGGTCTGGATTCTGGGGCGCGATCCCGCGGATGCGCGGTCGCACGGATACGTTCCGCGCGGGACATCCGCGAAACGCCCCGTATTCGCGGGGTCGCGGCCCAGGCGCCCGGCCCGCGAGGCCGCGGGTACGGATATGTTTTTCGCCCACGATCTCCTGTCTCAAGGAGCCGTGTACGATCAGGTACGGGTGGTCCAGGGCCTGCCGAAGCCTCATGATCAGATCGAACACGTGCGCGTAATTATGCAGAAGCGTGTCCTTCTCCACATACGTGTCGAACTTTGTTTGGCTCTGCATGTACATCGAGGTGTAGAAGTCCCGTTCCTCCGCGCTCAGACTGTCCTTCCTGATGCTGATCTTCAGCGGCGGCAGCCGGATATCCGCCTGTCTCTCCTCTTTCGTTCGGCGGAGCAGTATCTTGTCGAGCACATCAGCTCTCAACTTCTCCATG